ATGGCGGCACTTCGCCTTCAGGAACCCCAGCAGTAGGATGCCTGTTATGGAAGCACAACGCCTCCGGGAATCCCAGCAGCAGGATGCCTGTCATGGCGGCACTTCGCCTTCAGGAACCCCAGCAGTAGGATGCCTGTCAAAGAAGCACAACGCCTCCAGGAATTCCAGCAGTAGGATGCCTGTCATGTCTGCACAACGCCTCCAGGAACCCCAGGAGCAGGATGCCTGTCATGGCGGCACATCGCCTTCAGGAACCCCAGCAGCAGGATGCCTGTCATGAAAGCACAACGCCTTCAGGAACCCCAGCAGCAGAATGCCTGTCATGGCGGCACATCGCCTTCAGGAACCCCAGCAGCAGGATGCCTGACATGGAAGCACAACGCCTCCAGGAATCCCAGCAGCAGGATCCCTGTCATGGCGGCACTTCGCCTTCAGGAACCCCAGCAGCAGGATGCCTGTTATGGAAGCACAACGCCTCCGGGAATCCCAGCAGCAGGATGCCTGTCATGGCGGCACTTCGCCTTCAGGAACCCCAGCAGTAGGATGCCTGTCAAAGAAGCACAACGCCTCCAGGAATTCCAGCAGTAGGATGCCTGTCATGGCGGCACAACGCCTCCAGGAACCCCAGGAGCAGGATGCCTGTCATGGCGGCACATCGCCTTCAGGAACCCCAGCAGCAGGATGCCTGTCATGGCGGCACAACGCCTTCAGGAACCCCAGCAGCAGAATGCCTGTCATGGCGGCACATCGCCTTCAGGAACCCCAGCAGCAGGATGCCTGTCATGGAAGCACAACGCCTCCAGGAATCCCAGCAGTACGATGCCTGTCATGTCGGCACATCGCCTTCAGGAACCCCAGCAGTAGGATGCCTGTCAGGGAAGCACAACGCCCCGGGAATCCCAGCAGTATGATGCTTGTCATGGCTTCACAAAGCCCATTAGTTTATCAGTAGAAATTTAGGGCCCAGGAAAATACTTTCGTCCAGTAGTTGGTCACTATTTCGGTCAGGTGGAGTACATTTATATGCTCTTAATGTTAATGAGGAAACATCGAAACATTTGACTGCACTGACCGTAAAGTGTTGATCTAAAATCGTGCAATCTGCTTCGGATGTGAATGGCAGAGTTTGTGCGATCTGCAGTGTATAATTCGTGGAAATCGAGTATTTGCCTGTGCTCTAAGGTAGACAGAGAACTCGCCACAATACATGTATATCCTGATACAGTACTGGCACTCGCCCGCTATCCGAACGTTATCCGAAAGTACATTAACAACGCACACTTGGTGAGGAAAACGCATATATCCAAAGGCCATTGGCACAACGGTTCCTATATCTCTTTCACATTAAAAGTCCAACACAATCAGGAAATCCCAGGGCAATGCGTTTTCAGTTGTATACGTGAATATAAAGGTAGTGTCAATGGTACAATCAGGTCTATACATCTATTTCTCCGGTGTAGTCACATAGCAGGGTAGAAATCACTATACTGACGTGTGTTGGAGAGGAAAATGTCATGTTCGTCAGTAGTTGGTAATAGTAAGATTAAGTGCTAGTTTACCCAAATGAGATCGTTCTTTTCAGTGCATATCTTGCATGCAGTATCATGAAAGAAAGATAAGCTTTGGTTTTTGCTTCACACAAATGTACTTTCAAATAAAACAACAAAATATGAAACTGCATAATGGAAGAACAGTATATAGCTGCATACAAAACCGATACATGACTATACAATAGGGAGCGAGTGAGTTAATGTTTGTAGTCACATCGGCAATGTTTCAGCTGTATCGTGACTTGAACAAGTTATGCGTTAATTTTATACATTAGAACTGTCGTCAAAAGACAGTATAACAACACGAAATATATCACAAATTATAATTGTAAAACTAGTTTTAGAACAATTAAAATGATCAGATTATGACAGACGACACGTTATAAAAACAGGCTATAGATCACCAACAACTGAAGGTTGATCACCATGCTGGGGTCCACGGGGACTTACAGTACTTTGGCTACCTTCATGGACCCCAGCCGTTGTTGGCGATTACTAACACATTTAGTCTTATTAAAACTAAACTAGTGTCCAAAAGAAACGATACCACCTGTTTGCAACGACATAAAAGAAAAACAAAACAATGCAGAAGTTTAGGATTGGTGTTATGCTTTTGAGAAATCCTTTCACAACATCTGTACAAAAATTTCATTTCAATAAAATCTGTACAACCAATATGACAAGCCTTTAAAGATGGGTGGGGTCGAAAAATGAACATTTCGTTAGAGCACTGATCACAGAAACAACGGGAAATGTCACACCACACGTCTCAAAGTCAAGTCAGTAGCGGGTATGTCCACCGTGAGCATCAATACATGCCAGAACACGCCTACGGACTGATGACGTCAAACGTCTGATGACGTTGGGAGTGATGCGTTGCCATTCCTCGAGGAGACATCGTTCCAAGTCCTGGACGTTGACTGGAGGCACACGACGACGTCGGATTTGCCGATCGAGGTGGTCTCATAAGTGCTCGATGGGATTCATGTCCGGTGAACATGCGGGCCATGGCAAACCTGTACGTTGGCGTTGGCAAGGGAGTTCTGTGTCAATCTTGCTGTGTGTGGCCTTGCATTGTCATGTTGGAAAAGGAGTCCACGAGGCTGTTGCTGAATAAAGGGCACCACAACAGGCCGTAGGATGTCATCAAGATAACGCTGTGCATTCAGGTTTCCACGAATTACGACCAGCATCGTTTTGACGTCACCACATATGCCACCCCAAACCATTAACCCTCCACCTCCAGACGGCCGGACCTGTTGGATACAGTTAGGCGCCAAACGTTCACCAAATCGTCGGTATACAAGCTGCCGTCCATCGTTTCTGAAGATGAGGAATCTGCTCTCATCAGAGAACATAACACGTGCCCAGTCCCGCCGTTGCCAACGTCGAACTCGCCTGGCCCAGATCAGTCTGTTGTTCCGGTGTCGAAGCGTCAGGAGCGGTCCGCGGTAGGGATGACGTGGCCGGATACCATACTGCCGTAGTCTCCTGTAGACGGTCTGTCGACTGATCCTGTGTCCCAGTGCTGTAGCCGCCGTGGACGTCGCTGTTACGGTACGGTTCCTCAGGTGTAATACCCGGATGTAACGATCTTCACGGGGCGTGGTTACTCGTGGTCTTCCACTCCTGGGCCTGTCTGACGTCTGACCTGTCTGACGTAACCGCTGCATCAACCTGGTGATAGTGATGCGTGCGCAGCGCAACCTTCTGGCGACGTCGACGTGTGACGCTCCTTGTTGGACCATTCCAACGGCTCTCTCGCTCTCGATGGCTGTCAAACGTGGCATATCTTGTGTTCTTTTTGTTGCTGTGATATCAACGTGTCTGATCAGCCGTTTTATACAGTTTTTCTGCACGTGCAGAACATGCTAGAGAGGGAAATGTCACTTTCACGAAATTTACGTTTTTTCCCGGAAGTGATCACGTGTTCCCGGTATTTTTTATCGACTATGCTGTGTTTGGGATGTGCAATACGAATTGGCATGTTTTCATACTTGACAATTCACTTAGTAAAAAAACAGTTTTGAAAATAAGTCGGTATCGTTTCTTTTGGACACTAGTTTACATATATTCTACGAATAAAGAAAGTGGTAAGAACAGACTATACAATAAAACAATAATAGCTTTCAATGAGGACAACGTTACACGTTTGAGGGATCTGACATTGACCTTGGTTTCGTCATGTTCATTATTCCCTTTGTTCCTTTTCGTCACATTTCTCTCTGTGTAGTTGTGTGGGTGTACGTGTGTGTGTATGTGTGTGTATCTGTTTGTGTGTCTGTGTATCTGTGTGTCTGTGTCTGTGTATGTACATGTATGTGTGTGTTTATGTTTGTGTGTGTGTATGTGTGTGTATGGGTGCCTGTGTGTGTATGAGTGTGTATGTATCTGTGTGTGTATGTATGTGTGTGTGTGTTTGTATCTGTGTGTGTATGTGTGTATATGTGTGTATATGTGTGTATGTGTCTGTGTGTGCTTGTACATGTTACTCTCTGTGTGTGAGTATATGTGTGTATGTGTGTGTCTGTGTGTGTGCGTGTATGTGTGTATGTATGTGTGTGTATGTGTGTTTGTATGTGTGTGTATGTGTGTGTGTCTGTGTGTGTGTGTCTGTGTGTGTGTGTATCTGTGTGTATATGTGTGTATGTATGTGTGTGTGTATGTGTCTGTGTATGTTAGTCTCTCTGTGTGTGTTTGTGTGTGTCTGTGTGTGTGTGCGTGTATGTGTGTATGTATGTGTGTGTATGTGTGTTTGTATGTGTTTTGTATGTGTGTATGTGTGTGTATGTATGTTTATGCGTATGTGTGTGTATGTGTGTGTATGTTTGTGTATGTGTGTGTCTGTGTGTGTTACTCTCTGTGTGTGAGTATGTGTATATGTGTGTATGTGTGTGTATCCGTGTGTGTATGTGTGTTTGTATGTGTGTTTGTATGTTTGTGTGTACATGTATGTGTGTGCATGTGTGTATATGTGTGTGTGTATGTGGGTGTATGTTTGTGTATGTGTGTGTTTGTGTGTACGTGTGTGTGTATGTGTGTATGTATGTGTATGTGTATGTATGTGTGTGTACATGTGTGTGTACATATGTGTAGGCGTGTGTGTGTATGTGTGTGTTGGTCTCTTTGTGTGTATGTGTGTGTGTGTGTGTATGTGTGTTCGTATATGTGTTTGTATGTTTGTGTATGTGTGTGTATGCGTGTGTGTGTATGTGTGTGTTTGTGTGTTTATGTGTGTGTATATATGTGTGTGTATGTTTGTGTGTGTCTGTGTGTGTATGTGTGTGTGTATGCATATATGTATGTTTAATGCTAAAAGCGGCGTAAAATCACTCACTTAATCAGTATCACGATGCGCGACATATACTGTATATATTCTGTATGATATGTAGGCAAGCTGACGTAACAATGTTCAGGCTGGACACGTGACCTACTTCAACCTATGTAGGCCACCTGCTGGAGTTAGTAATGGCGGTCGCCCTGTCCACGGATCTACTGCCAGAGCTTCTGTCAACTCTGCAGAATGACGATAGAGCTATCCATGTAGGTACACACTCGAGTCTTGCCTCGTCCTGCAATGTGTACATCCCATACAACAATAGTGCTGGCGTAACTGTATGCCTGCGACAGTACCTCATTGAGCCTGATAGCCTAGGGGACGTCTCATAAACGGGAATGTTATCTTTGTGTTGACAATGTCAATATTCAGTTTAACAGCAGGGGATATTTATGTATCGTCAATGCTCCATAAGCATTGATGATTGTGCAATATGTCACGTTCAACAGTTGCCCTACCCGTATATGAAAACCCGTGAAGTATTGGTGATTGTGTAATATGTCACACCAACAGTTGCCCTAACCGTATATGAAAACATGTGAAGTATTGGTGATTGGGCAATCTTTGCCCTACCTGTTAATGAAAATGTCAAATTTCAGCTCATATACGGTCAGTTTGTGCAGAATATACAAACGCACCCTTCTAGCTTGTTTCCATCCATCACTAGTTTAGGACACGAAAAGAAAACATTTCAGGTAAATGAAATCGACAGCTGGTAGACCCAGCCAGAACCTAGGAATATGTGGTGATATGATTTCAATGTACAGGACTGTTCAACATTCAACTATTTTTTCTGTTATTTATTAGATTCGAGGTGAGATAAAATCAAAGCTCTGCTCCGTAATTACTGATTATGACGTCATAGTGGACCGCTGGCCGGACTACACAGCAGTGGTTGCACGGGTCAATGCTGCCACAGCCAAGGTGAACAGGCTACATGCTAATTACACTTACAAACTGCCTACTATACATGTAATACAGGCTGCCTACCATACATGTAATACAGACTACCTACTCACCATACATGTAGTACAGACTACCAACTCACAATACATTTAATACAGACTGCCTACTCGCCATACATGTAGTACAGACTACCTACTCTACATACATGTAGTACAGACTACCAACTCACCATACATGTAATACAGACTGCCTACTCGCCATACATGTAGTACAGACTACCAACTCACCATACATGTAATACAGACTGCCTACTCACCATGCATGTAATACAGACTGCCTACTCACCATACATGTAGTACAGACTACCAACTCACCATACATGTAATACAGACTGCCTACTCACCATACATGTAGTACAGACTACCAACTCACCATGCATGTAATACAGACTGCCTACTCGCCATACATGTAATACAGACTACCTACTCACCATACATGTAGTACAGACTACCAACTCACAATACATTTAATACAGACTGCCTACTCGCCATACATGTAGTACAGACTACCTACTCACCATACATGTAGTACAGACTACCTACTCACCATACATGTAATACAGACTGCCTACTCGCCATACATGTAGTACAGACTACCAACTCACCATACATGTAATACAGACTGCCTACTCACCATGCATGTAATACAGACTGCCTACTCACCAAACATGTAGTACAGACTACCAACTCACCATACATGTAATACAGACTGCCTACTCACCATACATGTAGTACAGACTACCAACTCACCATGCATGTAGTACAGACTCTCTACCATACATGTAGTACAGACTGCCTACTCACCATACATGTAGAACAGACTACCTACTCACCATACATGTAATACAGACTGCCTACTCACCATACATATAATACAGACTGCCTACTCACCATACATGTAGTACAAACAACCTACTCACCATACATGTAATACAGAGTACCTACTCACCACACTTGTAATGCAGACTGCCTACTCACCATACATGTAGTACAAACAACCTACTCACCATACATGTAAAACAGAGTTCCTACTCACCATACATGTAATACAGAGAACCTACTCACCATACATGTAATACAGAGTACCTACTCACAATACATGTAATACAGAGAACCTACTCACCATACATGAAATGGAGACTGCCTACTCACCATACATGTAGTACAGACTACCAACTCACCATACATGTAGTACAGACTACCTTCTCATCATACATGTAGTACAGACTGCCTACTCACCATGCATGTAGCACAGACTGCCTACACACCATACATGTAGTACAAACTACCTACTCACCATACATGTAGTACAGACTGCCTACTCACCATACATGTAATACAGACTGCCTACTCACCATACATGTAGTACAGACTGCCTACTCACCATACATGTAGTACAGACTACCTACTCACCATACATGTAGTACAAACTACCAACTCACCATACATGTAGTACAGACTGCCTACTCACCATACATGTAGTACAGACTGCCTACTCACCATACATGTAGTACAGACTACCAACTCACCATACATGTATTACAGACTGCCTACTCACCATACATGTAGTACAGACTGCCTACTCACCATACATGTAGTACAGACTGCCTACTCACCATACATGCAGTACAGACTATATGAGGCTCGTTAATAGAACTTGTATAGGAAGGACTCAACAATCTATATGGTTGTAAGTTGCTATAAATGGAAATTATGCTGACCTATTTTTCTTATACAAGCACGTGGTCTTCTCAGGGTTTCTCCTGAAGATGTTTTTATAATCCGAGATACTAACGCGTGACTCATTCAAAAACTATATTGTAAAATAATGCAAATAGAATTTGACGAATCGTTGAATTTATAAATTGTGTTGATGTTTGTTTCCCCAGTACCCTGTTCACCTCGGCCCTCTCGTCAGCGTCTTTACGACACAAACGGCACGACTGGAAACGCTGCTGCGACAACCCGACGTGCTGGACTGGTCAGCTAGGATCATATTTGTGTGTAAGTGTTACCATGGAAACAATGATCTCACTATAAATTCCAAACATGTCATTTCAACACAGCATTACTCAACCTTTCAGAATAATTCCTTGTTTCGACTAGGTTATTCAATGTATTACAAATATCACGTTTAGTAAGAATATGTAGGAAATGTTTCAGCAGATCAGTCTACTTTGATAAAATGAACATGAAGAGAATCATGGGTAATGGATACACTCGGACTTTCAACGACCATGGGTACCTTACATCTCACAACAGCAAACGTGTGTCGCCGTGGTATAAAGTGATGTGTGTTTCCCAGGTGTATGGATACTACATTAGCTTGTTCTAACCAGGTGTTGATATGACCGCCATGCCGGATGTGGTCAAGGCCATCGGTTATCAACACAGATCCTATACAGTGGACACATACCGCCTGATGACCGTCACACGGGCCAGGCTCCGAGTCAGGTACCCACAACATATACTTGTATACATACTCTAGGAACAAGGTTAAGCGCCCCCTGAAAAATTGTGAATCAATGTCGAGCGACCGCGAAAATAATTGGTAAAATCAGTTAAGCATACTAAGATTGGTAGAGCTTCTGGAGCGCTAATTACGGGCATAAACGATCTATCAATCAAAGCTAAATTTAGCACTATTTGAAATTATTCCGAACATTTGACGTAATTCTTGTTCAAAATGATTCGTAGCAGATTGTCTCATGGCGAAATGTGTTGAATAATAGCCATGATTTATGTAGAATGTCCTTCAAAGCTGTTCGTCGTCAGCTCGGATATGAACAAATTAATGTGGTAAAGGAACGTCCTAGGTCTGGACGGTCTCATGTGACGTCAGCAAGCATGCTCTGTTTCGTTAGGAGACAAGCCACAAGCAGCTGTCTGGAGGAGAACTGGATCCCTTGTCATCGAGGACATTGAGAATCAGCAGGTTTGAGATCAAGGAGGGTAATCAAGCATCCAAAACTGCCAGACTGTCTTCGCAGAAACCGTTTAGTTTGGTGTACAATGACACGTAGCTGCAAGCCGAAGACATGGAGGAAGATTCCCTGGACGGGTGGGAACAGTTTCCTGTTGAGTGTGACAGACTGGGGTATTCCCCCTTAACCACCCGTCTACATGGACGACAACCATTCTAGGCAGGTAACAGAGGCCTCCAACTCAAACGCGTCCATCCGTGGCTCATCGTGAGTCCATTTCTCAACCTGAGGGAACACATCCGGGACATAATGGTTCGCAAGACAGAAGCTGAACCAGCCAGCAGCACAAGCATTGCCTGAACCAACCAGCAGCACAAGCATTGCCTGAACCAACCAGCAGCACAAGCATTGCCTGAACCAACCAGCTGCACAAGCATTGCCTGAACCAACTAGTAGCACAAGCATTGCCTGAACCAACCAGTTGCACAAGCATTGCCTGAACCAATCAGTAGCACAAGCCTTGCCTGAACCAACCAGCAGCACAAGCATTGCCTGAACCAACCAGTAGCACAAGCATTGCCTGAACCAACCAGCAGCACAAGCATTGCCTGAACCAATCAGCAGCACAAGCATTGCCTGAACCAACCAGCTGTACAAGCATTGCCTGAACCAATCAGTAGCACAAGCATTGCCTGAACCAACCAGCAGCACAAGCATTGCCTGAACCAACCAGTACCACAAGCATTGCCTGAACCAACCAGCAGCACAAGCATTGCCTGAACCAACCAGCAGCACAAGCATTGCCTGAACGAACCAGTTGCACAAGCATTGCCTGAACCAACCAGTTGCACAAGCATTGCCTGAACGAACCAGCAGCACAAGCATTGCCTGAACCAACCAGTTGCACAAGCATTGCCTGAACGAACCAGCAGCACAAGCATTGCCTGAACGAACAAGTAGCACAAGCATTGCCTGAACCAACCAGCAGCACAAGCATTGCCTGAACCAACCAGCTGTACAAGCATTGCTTGAACGAACCAGCAGCACAAGCATTGCCTGAACGAACCAGCAGCACAAGCATTGCCTGAACGAACCAGCAGCACAAGCATTGCCTGAACGAACCAGCAGCACAAGCATTGCCTGAACCAACCAGCAGCACAAGCATTGCCTGAACCAACCAGTAGCACAAGCATTGCCTGAACTAACCAGCAGCACAAGCATTGCCTGAACCAACCAGCTGCACAAGTTTTGCCTGAACCAACCAGCAGCACAAGCATTGCCTGAACCAACCAGCAGCACAAGCATTGCCTGAACCAACCAGTACCACAAGCATTGCCTGAACCAACCAGCAGCACAAGCATTGCCTGAACCAACCAGCAGCACAAGCATTGCCTGAACCAACCAGTAGCACAAGCATTGCCTGAACCAACCAGCAGCACAAGCATTGCCTGAACGAACCAATTGCACAAGCATTGCCTGAACCAACCAGCAGCACAAGCATTGCCTGAACGAACCAGCAGCACAAGCATTGCCTGAACGAACCAGCAGCACAAGCATTGCCTGAACCAACCAGCAGCACAAGCATTGCCTGAACCAACCAGTAGCACAAGCATTGCCTGAACTAACCAGCAGCACAAGCATTGCCTGAACCAACCAGCTGCACAAGTTTTGCCTGAACCAACCAGCAGCACAAGCATTGCCTGAACCAACCAGCAGCACAAGTATTGCCTGAACCATCCAGTTGCACAAGCATTGCCTGAACCAACCAGCAGCACAAGTATTGCCTATACCATCCAGTTGCACAAGCATTGCCTGAACCAACCAGCAGCACAAGTATTGCCTGAACCAACCAGCTGCACAAGCATTGCCTGAACCAACCAGCAGCACAAGCATTGCCTGAACCATCCAGTTGCACAAGCATTGCCTGAACCAATTAGCAGCACAAGTATTGCCTGAACCAACCAGCTGCACAAGCATTGCCTGAACCAACCAGCTGCACAAGCAATGCCACATGTTCGGGAAAGTTCTTTGCGAAATAGACAAATTCTTCTTCTCCTTTGCTTCTCAAATTGTTGGCCAAACTTTGTAAGCTGGTGTTTAAAAATTTGAAACTGTCCAAGAAACGAAATTGATCTATTTGAAACATGATGAAGTGTTCCGAATTTTGACCTATGCACGTCAACTTTCGATCGGCAAACAGTTCTGCTGCTTGAAGAATCAAATGATTGTCATACCTCAAAGCATTGTCACAAATGACATTGACAAATTTGGCTTCGTTGTAGTTGCAGTAATTGTGACAAAGACCCCTGACTCGACCCGTCAAATGATCGTGATCGATGTGTCGCTCATTCTGCTGTACTTTCTCCCCGCAAAGATAGCAATGGGTTTCCGAAACTAAAGCTAACTTTTCCTCATCTGTTAATGTCATGGGCACGGGATGATTTAAGATGTCCACGATTTGATCGTAATCCTCCAAAAGGTGCGTCATGAAATGCTCTGAAGCCTGTTCCCCGCTATAGGTTCTCAATGGAAATGTGTACATGTCGGGTTCCCGACATACAATTTGATAACTAACCGCAGGGAATGTGCTCATGGACGTGGTGACTTCCTCGCCTCCCTGATGTCTCGTTATGTTCTAAAGGTGACAACACGGATTCAAAATCGCAGTAGATCACAAAGGGGACTTTGACTGTTTTGGCATAGTGGCCCAACCCAAATGTTTGAAAAGCTTTGTTTGGTTCAGGCATTTTAATTCGCTCTGCTTTGTGATAACAGTAGGGGGTATGCCTTTGTAGTCTGTCTTCAGTAGTGAAAGTCCACAAACATTTTCGACAAATGAATTTGTTGTTACTATCTCCAGTTTTTCTGATCAAAGCTGGCAAACTTGAGATCAGAACATAATGAGACAGCGGGGGTTCGTCTTCCTCCTCTACTTCTTGAGTTAACAGGAGGAGATCGATGTGACGCTCTTTGGGTACTTCGGAAGTTACTGAACTGATTCGTAAAGGAAAGATGACATGCTGTTGGTTCTCATCTTCGTCAAAACCATAGACATTGATACTTACATTGTTTGTTTTTTCAAATTTTGCACACCCTTTCAAATCTAACTCGTGTAGTTTGTCCTTGTAGTGACTCACTTGTTCTCTGACCATTTGAGACTGAACGGGGAACAGATGAGCCAAAACGCAATAGGCAAAACAGAGGTTGTCGTCCACATTTTTAATGTCTAACAGGCAGCGCTTTTTCTCTAACGAAGGGGGGAGGGGAAGATATGAACTTCTGCGAAAGGGTTGAAATTTAACTACGGATAATTTCACGCTCAACACAGTTTCAAAGTTTAAGTTTGAACTATCTCCTTCGTAATTGTCCATTAGTTTCATGATTGTATTTATGACTTCAGTGTACAGCCCATCCAAATCATCAGCTTGTGTGGCTGGAGACATTTTGGGTCTAAAGTAAGGCTCACTAAATGTAGTCAGACCATCAGAGTTTGTTTTGCTGAATCTAAATTGGGTACAAAGTCCCCACTTCATACTATGTTTTGTTTCAATTTCTGTTTTCAAGTGATGAATCATGTCAGGTTGAATTTTCACAAAATAATAGTAGGGATCATTTCCCTCTTGGCCCTGAGGAATAAAATCAAATTCCCTGACATTTTCATTTATTGCCTGTCTGGAACATGACTGTTGATTATCTACATTAGTTTTCCTACGTTTAGCTGCCGCCCCTCCACCACTTTGTTGATTTGAATGGGTTTTTCTCCTGTGTTTAGTGAGATCTTTCACAGATGGGAAAGTGGTCGAACATGTATGACAAGTAAAAGTAAAGGTAGAAGTAGAAGTAGATGGTTGTGGATCTTTGTGTTGACTTTTAATGTGCCTTTGTAAGCTATCACTACGGTTGAAAATGTTTGGAAGCTGGGCCACAATTTCTCTGATGTCTAACAATGTTCTGTTTGTTGCTGTAGGATTTTTGACAAACCTCACATGCATACACAGGTGTTGTAAATGGGGTAGACATTATTTTTTTTAACATAAAGTCTAGCAAACAATGTTCTTGGAATACTTTTTATCTTTCTGAAATAAATAATAAAAAATTAAAAAAATAGATTGGTATGTCTGTAGACTAATGAAGACAACATGATGATTTCACAATTATAATACATCCTCAGATAATGGGTTTAAAAAAAAGTTGAAACAATGATATGAAATACTTGTAATAACATAAAACGTATTATTAAAATACATTTTTAAAAAGATATGGTCTATTAATAAAAAAATTAAACTCTTACCTTCACACAGAAAATATATCTCTCCCAAATTGAGACCAAAAAGTTCTGTGGTATGGAGAATAAACACAATGTTCATTCATGAACCAAGAGAGACCAAATGCAGTATTTTGGGTCACAACACTGTTATTTATAGGGTAAAAAAACCAGGTGTATTCAAATTACAGTAGGTCTCGAGTAACGATAACTAGAGACGGTCTCAGAAACACATTTGTTTTTCAAGTATTTCCTTTCACAACAGTCGTGTTTACACAAGTGTTTCCTTTCAACTGTGCTGGGGAGGGAATCAGTCGTCCATCTCAACAGCAGGGAAAAAAATATTTAACTTGTTCTGTGTGTCTAAAACGTTCTGCTTTAATGAAATTAAAACCACTGGCTTGTTTATCAATATGACACATGCGGGTTAAGGGTGGCTCTTTTTTAGATTTGATTTTTGGGTTAGGTAGTATGTGAACTGAGCAATGCGGTCCACATGTTGGAATTGGTTTGGTTTAGACTCAAATTCACAATGCAAGTTATCACTACGGTATAAATGATAACGATTTGAGAAAAAAAGACTTCTGTTTTGGGTATTCTTTTCCCAAAGAGCTTCCATGAGTCGGTTGAGGTGGAACGAGTCATGGATGTGTGTACTGCTGACCCCCCCCCCCCCCCCCCCCCCCCCCCCCCACAAGGTCAAGGTTATGTGACGTCATCAGTCACGTGAGGTTACTAGGTGCACTTGTGACGTCATCAAATGTGGATGTGTGGATGATTACATCTTAAATATCTACTACTGATATTGCTGGAATATTGCTAAAGCGGCGTATAACCATACTCACTCACTCAATCTGAATTGTTTAAATGTCTTTGGAAATACACAAAAAAAGCTTTTGGGACATATTTCCTTTTTTATTGCTAAACATATACAGGTCAAGTACAAGCAAATGATATCGGGTTATTCCGTTTATTTTCTGAAAGAAGAGTGTTATTATGGTTCTGTGTCTGATGTTGAAAATAAGTCAGCAAAGAGCCGGAGTCACAAGAGACTAATTACACTGAACAATGAACAATATCTTAAATATGGCTGAGGGTGCCACAAAGAGTCGGTACAACCCTTTGCGCCGTGGGTGAGAGGTCTCCTTGGTTTAGAATAATAAAAGGAATATTATTGGTTGTTGATACACAATGGGGTTTTGCCCTACGGTTAATAAATGGCTTGACAGAAGGGAATACTTAATCCTGTTGGACTGGCACTTATCTTGTTGATATATCTACTGGGTGCTTGGAAAGAGATTATGATATCACAATCGACGAGCTTGTATGGAGGCTAAACCTTAATGAGTCTAAATTGAAGTATTTGCTCAATGCTATTCTGATATAGGCGAGAGCAGAGCAGATATACTTAAATAAAAAAGTTCAGGCAATCTATAAAACTATGTGGAGATGGGTTCTTGTTAGCTTAGGCTAGTATCTTTCTAGAAGCAATAACTGAAACTTCTGCATTTTTCCTGGATCCTAATATATTTTACCTTCTGTTCTGTAACTATATGAAAATTTGCATTAATGTTACACCATGATAACTTATATAAGCACTTGCTGTGGATCTAATTATAATATAAAACCTAATATAGATATTACACCATGATAGTATTTCAGAATTGGTATATAACTTGATGTAGTGTCTGTTGGAGTCTAGTGCTTGGTATATTGTCTGTTGGAGTCTAGTGCTTGATGTAGTATCTTTTAGTGTCTAGGGCTTCGTGTAGTGTCTGTTGGAGTCTAGTGTTTGGTGTAGTATCTGTTGGAGTCTAGGGCTTCGTGTAGTGTATGTTGGAGTCTAGTGCTTCGTATATTGTCTGTTGGATTCTAGTGCTTGATGCAGTATCTGTTGGAGTCTAGGGCTTCGTGTAGTGTCTGTTAGAGTCTAGGGTTTAGTGTAGTGTCTGTTGGAGTCTAGGGCTTCATGCAGTGTCTACTGGAGTATAGTGCGTCATGCAGTGTCTGCTGGAGTCTAGGGTTTCGTGTAGTGTCTGATGGAGTGTACTGCTTCATGAAGTGTCGGCTGGAGTGTACTGCTTCATGTAGTGTCTGCTGGAGTCTACATGTTCGTGTCGTGTCTGTTGGAGTGTACTTCTCAATGAAGTGTCTGTTGGAGTCTAGTGCTTCGTGTAGTGTCTGTTGGAGTCTACTGCCCCATGAAGTGTCTTCTGGAGCATAGTGCTTCATGTAGCGTCTGATCGAGCCTTCTTCTCCTCTTGAAGTGTCTGTTGGAGTCTAGGGCTTCGTGTAGTGTCTGTTGGAGTCTAGTGTTTGGTGTAGTATCTGTTGGAGTCTAGGGCTTCGTGTAGTGTATGTTGGAGTCTAGTGCTTCGTATATTGTCTGTTGGATTCTAGTGCTTGATGCAGTATCTGTTGGAGTCTAGGGCTTCGTGTAGTGTCTGTTAGAGTCTAGGGTTTAGTGTAGTGTCTGTTGGAGTCTAGGGCTTCATGCAGTGTCTACTGGAGTATAGTGTGTCATGCAGTGTCTGCTGGAGTCTAGGGTTTCGTGTAGTGTCTGTTGGAGTGTACTGCTTCATGAATTGTCGGCTGGAGTGTACTGCTTCATGTAGTGTCTGCTGGAGTCTACATGTTCGTGTCGTGTCTGTTGGAGTGTACTTCTCAATGAAGTGTCTGTTGGAGTCTAGTGCTTCGTGTAGTGTCTGTTGGAGTCTACTGCCCCATGAAGTGTCCTCTGGAGCATAGTGCTTCATGTAGCGTCTGATCGAGCCTTCTTCTCCTCTTGAAGTGTTTGTTGGAGTCTAGGGCTTCGTGTAGTGTCTGTTGGAGTCTACTGCCCCATGAAGTGTCTGCTTGAGCCTAGTGCTTCATGTAGTGTATGATGGAGTTTTCTTCTCCTTGAAGAGTCTGTTGGAGTCTGCTATTGCTTCATGAAGTATCCCATTAAAATTTACTATTGCTTCATGAAGTATCCCATTTAAATTTACTATTGCTTCATGAAGTTTCTCTTTGAGTCTACTGCTCGATACAGTGCCTGTTGGAGTGTAGTGTCATGTTAGTGTCCAGTGCTCCATGAAGTGTCTGCTGAGTTTATTGCTTCATGTAGTTTCGTGTTAGTGCCCAGTGCTCCATGAAGTGTCTGCTGAGTTTATTGCTTCATGTAGTTTCATGTTAGTGCCCAGTGCTCCATGAAGTGTCTGCTGAGTTTATTGCTTCATGTAGTTTCATGTTAGTGCCCAGTGCTCCATGAAGTGTCTGCTGGAGTTTATTGCTTCATGTAGTTTCATGTTAGTGTCCAGTGCTCCATGAAGTGTCTGCTGGAGTTTATTGCTTCATGTAGTTTCATGTTAGTGTCCAGTGCTCCATGAAGTGTCTGCTGGAGTTTATTGCTTCATGTAGTTTCATGTTAGTGCCCAGTGCTCCATGAAGTGTCTGCTGGAGTTTATTGCTTCATGTAGTTTCATGTTAGTGTCCAGTGCTCCATGAAGTGTCTGCTGGAGTTTATTGCTTCATGTAGTGTCATGTAAGTGTCCAGTGCTCCATGAAGTGTCTGCTGAGTTTATTGCTTCATGTAGTTTCATGTTAGTGCCCAGTGCTCCATGAAGTGTCTGCTGAGTTTATTGCTTCATGTAGTTTCATGTTAGTGTCCAGTGCTCCATGAAGTGTCTGCTGAGTTTATTGCTTCATGTAGTTTCATGTTAGTGTCCAGTGCTCCATGAAGTGTCTGCTGAGTTTATTGCTTCATGTAGTTTCATGTTAGTGTCCAGTGCTCCATGAAGTGTCTGCTGAGTTTATTGCTTCATGTAGTTTCATGTTAGTGCCCAGTGCTCCATGAAGTGGCTGCTGGAGTCTACTGCTTCATGAAGAGGGCGATGAAAGGCATCAGTAGAGAGGTCAAGGAGAGATAGATTCCACCGGCAGCGGAACCTGTCAAATAAACAGATCAGACTTAGCTTCGGTTCAGTTGTTATATTGACCTTCCTATGACGACTGCTACCAATACAGTCGACACTGCATGTCGTCACGGATTCCCAGTGATCTTATTGTCATTTCCATCAGCAAATAAAGCAATGAAGCATTATCTCAACTTACATTAAAATTATAGCTAGAAATTAGCCTTGCATGCCTCGAATAAGTATCCTTCATTTGAAACGAACAGATGTTTATCCGAAGACATTGGGTGAAGGGAAGTATCTCGTTTTGTTTGCGTCGTCTGCCTCGTGTCACACCCTACGCCCCGGGGGATCAGTTGATCACTTATACAGTTTGCTACTGCTACTTACATGGGAGGGCGTTCATCAGTACAGTGTTACTGGTGATGGCGGCATCAAGGCTGGCTTTCTCCACAACCTGGGAGCTGGTGCAAGCACCCACTTCGTCTTTCAGACACTCAATGTAGAGATTATAAGTCCTGGTGGAAAAACGTATTTCTAATTGTTAAAAGAACAAACAATGATGTCTGAAATGAAGGTCAGTATGTATCATGGCCTACTCCTTCTCTGAATTTATAGTCAGTAGGTATCTTGGCCTACTTCCTATCTAAATTATAAGAAAGTAAGTACCGTGGCCTACTTTCTGTCTGAAATGAAGGTCAGTATGTATCGTGGTATACTCCCTATCTGAACATGAAGGAAGTAGGTAACGTGGCCTACTCTCTATATAAACTGAAAGTCAGAAGGTAACGTGGCCTACTCCCTATATTAACGGAACATCAGAAGGTATGGTAGCCTAGTGGCTATCTGTATGACCTTAGAGTGGGCTATTATTGCTAGTGTGAAGGGAGTGATAGGAGAAGAAAGTATTGCGTGGAATGTTGAAGGAACGCAAAAAGAAACATACGCGCATCCTTCTGTCCCAAGGATACTTCCTGTCAGTGAACATACAAGAATATTGCAGGCAGCAGGCACGCTCGCCGCTGGACCTGCAACAGTTAGACACGTGTCATGAACATCATTCATGCTTGTTGACTTTTTAAAGTCAATTACGATCGTATTAATTTGCAATCCTTGTATTTCCCAACAATAACCCCTGGAGCAGATTTAACGAGAGTAATCAAATGTAAAACATCTCAATTCTCTTCACAATTATTAATTGATCAAACGATCAGTCGGGGCATATTGTGTGATGTACCCTGTGTTTGAGCCTATGTACCCCGAGCCGTCAGGTGTGATGTACCCTGTGTGTGAGCCTATGTACCCCGAGCCGTCAGGTGTGATGTACCCTGTGTGTGAGCCTATTTACCCCGAGCCGTCAGGTGTGATGTACCCTGTGTGTGAGCCTATGTACCCCGAGCCGTCAGGTGAGATGTACATAGGCTCACACACAGGGTACGTCACACCCTACGCCCCGGGGGATCAGTTGATCACTTATACAGTTTGCTACTGCTACTTACATGGGAGGGCGTTCATCAGTACAGTGTTACTGGTGATGGCGGCATCAAGGCTGGCTTTCTCCACAACCTGGGAGCTGGTGCAAGCACCCACTTCGTCTTTCAGACACTCGATGTAGAGATTATAAGTCCTGGTGGAAAAACGTATTTCTAATTGTTAAAAGAACAAAATGATCAAAATGAAATTTAATAATTAAAACAGACAATTACCATAGGATTATATATATTAATTTAAGAAAACAATTAAAGCAAAATACGTTATTAAAAACTCGGTCACGAAAAGGATTATTTTGGGTAACAACGTTTTCCTATACATCATACTTCTTTACTACACATCATATATGGCTAACAGCGTCTTCACTACACATCACATATGGCTAACAGCTTCTTCACTACACATCACATATGGATAACAACTTCTTACTAAACATCACATATGGATAATAACTTCTTCAATATACATCACATATGGATAATAACTTCTTCAATATACATCACGTATGGATAACAGCTTGTTCACTATACATCACATATGGATAACACCTTCTTCACTATACATCACGTATGGATAACAGCTTGTTCACTATACATCACATATGGATAACAACTTCTTCACTATACATCACGTATGGATAACAGCTTCTTCACTATACGTCACATATGGATAACAGCTTGTTCACTATACATCACATGTGGATAACACCTTCTTCACTACACATCACATATGGATAACAACTTCTTACTAAACATCACATATGGATAATAACTTCTTCAATATACATCACATATGGATAATAACTTCTTCAATATACATCACGTATGGATAACAGCTTGTTCACTATACATCACATATGGATAACACCTTCTTCACTATACATCACGTATGGATAACAGCTTGTTCACTATACATCACATATGGATAACAACTTCTTCACTATACATCACGTATGGATAACAGCTTCTTCACTATACGTCACATATGGATAACAGCTTGTTCACTATACATCACATGTGGATAACACCTTCTTCACTACACATCACATATGGATAACAACTTCTTACTAAACATCACATATGGATAATAACTTCTTCAATATACATCACATATGGATAATAACTTCTTCAATATACATCACGTATGGATAACAGCTTGTTCACTATACATCACATATGGATAACACCTTCTTCACTATACATCACGTATGGATAACAGCTTGTTCACTATACGTCATATATGGATAACAGCTTGTTCACTATACGTCATATATGGATAACAGCTTGTTCACGATACATCACATATGGATAATAACTTCTTCACTATACATCACGTATGGATAACAGCTTCTTCACTATACGTCACATATGGATAACAGCTTGTTCACTATACATCACATGTGGATAACACCTTCTTCACTACATATCACGTATGGATAACAACTTCTTCACTATACGTCACATACGGATAACACCTTCTTCACTACACGTCAAATATGGATAACAGCTTGTAGAGATTATAAGTCCTGGTGGAAAAACGTATTTCTAATTGTTAAAAGAACAAAATGATCAAAATGAAATTTAATAATTAAAACAGACAATTACCATAGGATTATATATATTAATTTAAGAAAACAATTAAAGCAAAATACGTCATTAAAAATCGGTCACGAAAAGGATTATTTTGGGTAACTACGTTTTCCTATACATCATACTTCATCACATATGGCTAACAGCGTCTTCACTACACATCACATATGGCTAACAGCTTCTTCACTACACATCACATACGGATAATAACTTCTTCAATATACATCACATATGGATAACAGCTTGTTCACTATACATCACGTATGGATAACAGCTTGTTCACTATACATCATGTATGGATAATAACTTCTTCAATATACATCACATATGGATAACAGCTTGTTCACTATACGTCACATATGGATAACAGCTTGTTCAATATATATCACATATGGATAACACCTTCTCCACTACATATCACATATGGATAACAACTTCTTTACTACACATCACGTATGGATAACAACTTCTTCACTATACATCACATATGGATAACAACTTCTTTACTACACATCACATATGGATAACAACTTCTTCACTACACATCACGTATGGATAACAGCTTGTTCACTATACATCACATATGGATAACAGCTTGTTCACTTTACATCACATATGGATAACAGCTTCTTCGCTACATATCACATATGGATATCAACGTCTTCACTACAAATCACATATGGAGAACAGCTTCTGCACTACAAATCACATATGGATAACACCTTCTTCACTATACGTCACGTATGGATGACAGCTTCTGCACTACAAATCACATATGTATAACACCTTCTTCACTATACGTCCGTATGGATGACAGCTTCTTCACTACACATCACATATGGAGAACAGCTTCTGCACTACAAATCACGTATGGATAACAACTTCTTCACTATTCGTCACATATGGATATCAACGTCTTCACTATACATCACATATGGATAACAGCTTCTTCACTATACATCACATATGGATAACAGCTTCTTCACTATACGTCACATATGGATATCAACTTCTTCACTATACGTCACATATGGATATCAACTTCTTCACTATACATCACATATGGATAACACCTTCTTCACTATACGTCACATATGGATATCAACTTCTTCACTATACGTCACATATGGATATCAACTTCTTCCCTATACGTCACATAAGGATATCAACTTCTTCACTATACGTTACATATGGATATCAACGTCTTCACTATACATCACATATGGATAATAATTTCTTCACTTAAAAAAAGGTTTGGATATCAACTTCTCCATTTGACATCACATATGGATAATAACTTCTTCACTATACATCACGTATGGATAACAACTTATTCACTATACATCACATATGGATAACAACCTGTTCACTATACATCACATATGAATAACAACTTCTTCACCATACATCCCGTATGAATAACAACTTTTTTATTGTACAGTCACATTGTTTCAGGGCAGCCTACGTCCAACAGTTGTTGTTACTTAAGGTTTCAGTTTGAAAGTAAGTAGGTATCGTGGCCTACTCCCTGTCTGAATTGAAAGTCATCAGGTGTAGTGGCCTACTCCTTCTCATTAATAAAAGGTCAGTAGGTATTTTGGCCTACTCCCTATCTGAATTGAAAGTCAATAGGTACAGCGGTCTAATCCCAATATGGACGGAGCATCAGAACGTATGGCAGCCTAGTGACTAAATGTATGACCTTAGAGTGGGCTATTATGGTACGTGTGAAGAGAGTGATAGGAGAAGAGGGTTACGCGTGGAATGTTGAATTAACGCAAGAAGAAACATACGTGCATCCTTCTGTCCCAAGGATACTTCCTGTCAGTGAACATGCAAGAATATTGCAGGCAGCATGCACGCTCGCCACTGAACCTGCAACAGATAGACACGTGTCATGAACATCACACATGCTTGGTGACTTTTTAAAGTCAATTACAATCGTATTTATTTGCAATCCTTGTATTTCCCAACAATAACCCCTGAAGCAGATTTAACGAGTGAAGTCATCTCATTTCTCTTCCCAATTATTAAATCTAGTTGATAAACACATCAAAACAATTCGTGGCTTGTCCTTGAGTAACACGTATTAATGGAGCGAGGAGGCTATCAGGTCTACGCGAGAATGTCAATAGCATGCACAAGTGGTACTCTTTTCTGACAGCGAGTTCATGCTGTTAAGTATTTCACATGTATAAATGATAAACAATCAGGCGCAAGCAGCGTTCATCAAAACAATCAAGATGAACAAGATTTGTTCCCTGGAAACTTCAAACTTCTCATGGCAGCGAGTAGAAATATTGGAAGTGTGTAGTTACCTGTTGAAGTGTTGAGGTTTCGACACCCCGGTGTCGTTGCAGTGACGAGAAATATTGGAAGTGTGTAGTTACTGGTTGAAGTGCCAATGTTTCGACACACCGGTATCATTGCAGCGAGGAGAAATATTGGAAGTGTGTAGTTACCGGTTGCAGTGCCAAGGTTTCGACACACCGGTATCATCGCAGCGAGGAGGAATATTGGAAGTGAGTAGTTACGGGTTGCAGTGCCAAGGTTTCGACACACCGGTATTGTTGCAGCGAGTAGAAGTATTTGAAGTGAGTAGTTATGGGTTGAAGTGCCAAGGTTTCGACACACCGGTATCGTCGCAGCGACGAGAAATATTGGAAGTGAGTAGTTACTGGTTAAAGTGCCAAGGTTTCGACACACCAGTATCGTTGCAGCGACTAGAAGTATTTGAAGTGAGTAGTTATGGGTTGAAGTGCCAAGGTTTCGACACACCGGTATCGTCACAGCAACGAGAAATATTGGAAGTGTGTAGTTACTGGTTGCAGTGCCAAGGTTTTGACACACCGGTATTGTTGCAGTGACGAGAAATATTGGAAGTGTGTAGTTATGGGTTGAAGTGCCAAGGTTTCGACACACTGGTATCGTCGCAGCGACGAGAAATATTGGAAGTGTGTAGTTATGGGTTGCAGTGCCAAGGTTTCGACACACTGGTATTGTTGCAGTGACGAGAAATATTCGAAGTGTGTAGTTATGGGTTGCAGTGCCAAGGTTTCGACACATCGGTATTGTTGCAGTGAGGAGAAATATTGGAAGTGTGTAGTTACCTGTTGCAGTGCCAAGGTTTCGACACACCAGTATTGTTGCAGTGAGGAGGAATATTGGAAGTCTGTAGTTACGGGTTGAAGTGCCAAGGTTTCGACACACTGGTATCTTTACAGTGACGAGAAATATTGGAAGTGTGTAGTTACTGGTTGAAGTGTAGAGGTTTCGACACACCGGTATTGTTGCAGCGAGGAGAAATATTGGAAGTGTGTAGTTACCGGTTGCAGTGCCAAGGTTTCGACACACCGGTATCGTCGCAGCGACGAGAAATATTGGAACTGAGTGATACTGGTTAAAGTGCCAAGGTTTCGACACACCGGTATCGTGCAGCGAGTAGAAGTATTTGAAGTGAGTAGTTATGGGTTGAAGTGCCAAGGTTTCGACACACCGGTATCGTCACAGCAACGAGAAATATTGGAAGTGTGTAGTTACTGGTTGCAGTGCCAAGGTTTTGACACACCGGTATTGTTGCAGTGACGAGAAATATTGGAAGTGTGTAGTTATGGGTTGAAGTGCCAAGGTTTCGACACACTGGTATCGTCGCAGCGACGAGAAATATTGGAAGTGTGTAGTTATCGGTTGCAGTGCCAAGGTTTCGACACACCAGTATTGTTGCAGTGACGAGAAATATTCGAAGTGTGTAGTTATGGGTTGCAGTGCCAAGGTTTCGACACACTGGTATTGTTGCAGTGAGGAGAAATATTGGAAGTGTGTAGTTACCGGTTGCAGTGCCAAGGTTTCGACACACCAGTATTGTTGCAGTGAGGAGGAATATTGGAAGTCTGTAGTTACGGGTTGAAGTGCCAAGGTTTCGACACACTGGTATCGTCGCAGCGACGAGAAATATTGGAAGTGTGTAGTTATCGGTTGCAGTGCCAAGGTTTCGACACACCAGTATTGTTGCAGTGACGAGAAATATTCGAAGTGTGTAGTTATGGGTTGCAGTGCCAAGGTTTCGACACACCGGTATTGTTGCAGTGAGGAGAAATATTGGAAGTGTGTAGTTACCTGTTGCAGTGCCAAGGTTTCGACACACCAGTATTGTTGCAGTGAGGAGGAATATTGGAAGTCTGTAGTTACGGGTTGAAGTGCCAAGGTTTCGACACACTGGTATCGTTACAGTGACGAGAAATATTGGAAGTGTGTAGTTACGGGTTGAAGTGTAGAGGTTTCGACACACCAGTATTGTTGCAGTGAGGAGAAATATTGGAAGTGTGTAGTTACGGTTTGAAGTGCCAAGGTTTCGACACACCGGAATCGTTGCAGCGAGGAGAAATATTGGAAGTGTGTAGTTACCGGTTGCAGTGCCAAGGTTTCAACACACCAGTATAGTTGCAGCGAGTAGAAGTATTTGAAGTGAGTAGTTATGGGTTGAAGTGCCAAGGTTTCGACACACTGGTATCGTCGCAGCGAAGAGAAACATTGGAAGTGTGTAGTTACCGGTTGCAGTGCCAAGGTTTCGACACACTGGTATCGTTGCAGGGAGTAGAAGTATTGGAAGTGAGTAGTTATGGGTTGAAGTGCCAAGGTTTCGACACACCGGTATCGTTGCAGCGAGTAGAAGTATTGGAAGTGAGTAGTTATGGGTTGAAGTGCCAAGGTTTTGACACATCGGTATCGTCGCAGCGACGAGAAATATTGGAAGTGTGTAGTTACCGGTTGCAGTGCCAAGGTTTCGACACACCAGTATTGTTGCAGTGAGGAGGAATATTGGAAGTGTGTAGTTACTGGTTGAAGTGCCAAGGTTTCGACACACCGGTATCGTCGCAGCGACGAGAAATACTGGAAGTGTGTAGTTACCGGTTGCAGTGCCAAGGTTTCAACACACCAGTATAGTTGCAGCGAGTAGAAGTATTTGAAGTGAGTAGTTATGGGTTGAAGTGCCAAGGTTTTGACACACCGGTATTGTTGCAGCGAGGAGAAATATTGGAAGTGTGTAGTTATGGGTTGAAGTGCAAAGGTTTCGACACACTGGTATCGTCGCAGCGAAGAGAAACATTGGAAGTGTGTAGTTACTGGTTGCAGTGCCAAGGTTTCGACACACTGGTATCGTTGCAGGGAGTAGAAGTATTGGAAGTGAGTAGTTATGGGTTGAAGTGCAAAGGTTTTGACACATCGGTATCGTCGCAGCGACGAGAAATATTGGAAGTGTGTAGTTACCGGTTGCAGTGCCAAGGTTTCGACACACCAGTATTGTTGCAGTGAGGAGGAATATTGGAAGTGTGTAGTTACTGGTTGAAGTGGCAAGGTTTCGACACACCGGTATCGTCGCAGCGACGAGAAATACTGGAAGTGTGTAGTTACCGGTTGCAGTGCCAAGGTTTCGACACACCAGTATCGTTGCAGCGAGGAGAAATATTTGAAGTGTGTAGTTACCGGTTGCATGGCAAATGTTTCGACACACTGGTATCATTGCAGCGAGGAGAAATATTGGAAGTGAGTACTTACGGGTTGAAGTGCCAAGGTTTCGACACACTGGTATCATCGCAGCGACGAGAAATATTGGAAGTGTGTAGTTACCGGTTCAAGTGCCAATGTTTCGACACACTGGTATCATCGCAGCGACGAGAAATATTGGAAGTGTGTAGTTACCGGTTGCAGTGCAAATGTTTCGACACACCGGTATCGTTGCAGCGAGGAGGAATATTGGAAGTGTGTAGTTACGGGTTGAAGTGCCAAAATTTCGACACACCGGTATCGTTGCAGCGACGAGAAATATTGGAAGTGTGTGGTTACCGGTTGCAGTGCCAAGGTATCGACACACCAGTATTGTTGCAGTGAGGAGGAATAATGGAAGTCTGTAGTTACGGGTTGAAGTGCAAAGGCTTCGACACACAGGTATCTTCGCAGCGACGAGAAATATTGGAAGTGTGTAGTTACCGGTTGCAGTGCAAATGTTTCGACACACCGGTATCGTTGCAGCGAGGAGAAATATTGGAAGTGTGTAGTTATGGGTTGAAGTGCCAAGGTTTCGACACACTGGTATCGTCGCAGCGATGAGAAATATTGGAAGTGTGTAGTTACCTGTTGAAGTGTAAAGGTTTCGGCACACCGGTATTGTTGCAGCGAGGAGAAATATTTGAAGTGTGTAGTTACTGGTTGAAGTGCTAAGGTTTCGACACACCGGTATCGTTGCAGCGACGAGAAATATTGCAAGTGTGTAGTTACCTGTTGAAGTGCAATAGTTTTGACACACCAGTATCGTTGCAGCGAGGAGAAATATTGGAAGTGTGTATTTATCGTTCCAGTGCCAAGGTTTCGACACACCGGTATCGTCGCAGCGAGGAGAAAATTGGAAGTGTGTAGTTACCGGTTGCAGTGCCAAGGTTTCGACACATCGGTATCGTAGCAGCGAGGAGAAATATTGAAATTGGGAAGTTGCTGGTTGCAGTGTAGAGGATTCAAAACAGCGGTATCTTCAAGTGGCAGAAGAAGTAACGCACAGGCATTCAGCCGCCAACATGTTTCGAATGGAAGCAGACGTCTTCACGTCTGAACTGTTCTCAAGGCAAGAGAGAGGCATCACCAAGTCCAACTGTATGGCTTAGGCGGCACCGTGATGGTATTCCAGACGGCCATTCCTACCTTGCCTCCCCAAAGACCATCATGTACAGTCAACATCACAACACCACGATTTCCAACATCGAGACCCGACATCCAAATTGAGGACAAGTGGACTCGCACCGTCAATGGTATTTACATATATTTTGCATGGTACGTAACGAGAATTAAAGTTCCTGCTGGGAGGGGGCTTATGGTTGGAGGGAATATCCCAAATGTTTGCTGAATACATTAAGTTTTGAAACCAACACCTTTAGAAATGGTTTCCACTATGACAGTATGATCATTACTGTCTAATTTGTCTTGCTCTCAACCTGCGATCAACATTAACAGAAATGAAAGGGGTACATTACGATGTATAGTGAGAAACCTATATTCTGGGGCTAGGGAATTTTAACGAAAAAGTAAATGGTCTCAGAAAATGGTTTAAACACCTTGGTTTGATGTTGAAAAATATAATAAGTTGTCATTTTGAACATGAAAGGTATAGTCTCATAGTTTTAATCAACAAAATATCTGGTTTTGCTGAATCCATATCTGGTCTCAAACAAAATGTCCGTCCCTAACACATTGTAGAAATAAACAAAATGAGAAAAACTTACAACAAAGAGCGAGAAAGCCGAGAACAGTATTCATTTTTGCTGTGGCTGTGTTGTTTAGGCTGGTGCAGTTGTCTTCAATATGTCCAGTTCCTACTAACATGGAAAGATGGGTTTGAAATATATAGGTATATCTACAGACACGCACTCCATGGTTACAGAGCCTAACAATTGTGTAGGTCAGAGATTGGTCGGCTCGACGGTGACAGTTAAAATGAAGTACCCCAGCTGCACACGCAAGTTACAAAGTGACACGCTATGGGAAACCCGGACATACACAACAGTGTTCATGTATTGTGAAACATATTGTATTTTTAGAATGATGGAACTGATTGGGAAGGTTGTGCCTGTCCCGTCCACCGGTTGAGAGGATGTCAGACCACGCTACACATACTCAGAATACCGTGTAGGTGTCAATGCGTTCAAAGCACTCTGTGAAGTCCAGACGTCAGATGGTCTTCATTGAAACTATTGAAAAGATTAACACTAAAGCCACACATTCCTTAACTGTACTGTCAACCTTGATGTTAATTCAATCAGACGCTGTATATACAATATATCCCCTACATTTGTAGAATACAGTAAGATCTGATATCAATGTATCTTCATCACTTGGATGAGATAAAGATAGTCTATCTACCTTCAGATGAAGTCGTCTTTTAAAACACGTTAAAAGTCGCTAAAGACACGTTAAATGACGTTTAAGACACATTTGACGTCACTTTATTGGTCATTTTCGACACACTAGATGACGTTACGACGATGTTTGAATAATTAGCTGCATTATAAATTAATTAAATGGAAATGTAAGAGGAGGTGTAAGAGGAGGTGAAACATGTAGTGTTGTTGTATGTACATTGTACGCAAGGAACATTATCAGTAAACCTATCAATGGTAATTGTTGGACAGATCATTGCTTTTGAAAGTCGACAGAATGGAAGTATGTGCGATATGTTTGACTAATAGTGTTGCCCAGCACGACTGTCATTCAAGCAGGTCATTAGGCTTTATCCGTCGGTGTATATGTTGCCTGCTCAGCGACATCAAGCACCTCTGGACTCTGTGATTACTCCATAACAACATTGCAGCCTTTGATGAGCTACAAGAACCTCGCCCCGTCCGTCAACTAGACTCTGCGTGACCAGTCACATTATTACTCTAGTAGTCGCAAACATGCATAGGGGTGTGTTGAAAGTCCCAAAGTCACCTCCCTCCACCGCTGTTCGTCTGTTTTGGAATCTTAGAAGGGACAGTGTCGCATTGTCGCTCTTACGAAAACAAGCAAAAAGTGTCAACATGAGCTAAAGCCCGACAAGGCGACATTTTGACCTTTTGTCGCATTGTCGCCTTTTGAATAGTATTTGTTACTTTAACTAAAAGGCGAATATGCCTAAACGCCACATTTCTCAAGGTAAAAATTTACCGTTTTATTACATTTGTGACCCCATCTAAAACGGCCTTAAAAAGCGTTTAACTGCTTGTACTAGTCCGGAATAAAGACGATTTTATAGGGGTAACCAACGGAGATAGCATACTACAGTGTAACATGAATACCCAAATCAGACACAGTATATTGACTCTGAGTCGACCAGTTTTAGACCCTTATTGCCGAGCGCCGGGCAGGGTAACACAAAGTACCATCTTTTAATGTGTATGGTGCTGGAATTCGAAGACACGATCTTAGTTTTCTGGTCTAGGAGACGCAACTCTGCACAGCGAAATGCGCCGTCGAAAACAACAGGGCCAACGTGTCTCTTCATCGATTTAAAAAGTCGTTGGAGACAGGAACGTAATTAAAAGGAAATGCCAAGAGTGTGCGTCTTGCCGTGAAAACACGTTTAGTTCATAGAATACCTTACCGACAGTAACTATGATATTTTGTACAGGCAGTTTCACTTCGTTATCATATAATGTTACCAAGTAGGTTTTTCCACATTTTAACAGTTTTAAATACACGGATCATTATATTTGTGCATTATATCTAACTTGTCGAATAATCACGTATAAAGTGACGTCAAATGTGTCTTTAAATGTCATTTAACGTGTCTTTAACATCCTTAAACGTGTCTTAAACGACCTGTAGCGTGTTTTAAACGACCTCATAACGTCATCTAATGTGTCTCAAAAGACGTCTAACGACCTTTAGCGTGTTTTAAATGTTGTCATCAACGTCATCTAACGTGTCGAATAGTGTCGTCTCTTAAACGTCATTAAACGTGTCTTTAACGTCATTAAACGTGTCTTAAGCGACATTTAGCGTGTTTAAACGACGTCATAAGGTCTAACGTTTTTACAATCACGTATTAAGTGACTACTTATCGATTTCAAGCGACATCTGACGTGTCTTGAACGCCATTTAACATGTATTAAGCGCCTTTTAGCGTGTAATAAACGACGTTAAAACGTTATCTATTATGTCGAATAATGGCGCATAAAGTTACTTCAAACATGTCTCAACAATACTTTATTACAGGAAAGAACACGCCTGCTTGAGGAATTAATTAGAGTAAATAATTATCATACAAATTGCGATAGGAAAGAAACCTTCATTGTTCTTAATTCAATATTTAACAATGATGATTGTCAAAGGAATTTGTTAGCCCCCTATATGTTTGAATGGTATCTTATACACTTATAATTTTGAGATTTTAATCATTGGTACAAGAAACAAAGATTTAAACATGCAAAGTTATTGTCTGACAAATGTGCATATTTAAATAAAAGACTCCATTCTAGTCCAAAACTGACTGGCATCGTCTTCCCATGGAAGCAATCAGATCCCGAATTGTGACCTGAGTAATGTTAACCCACTCTGCCTGTAGTGTTTGCGCTAACTGTCGCGGGTTCTGTGGTTGCTGCTGACGTGCCCGCAGTCGTTGATCCAGTGCATTCAATACATGTTCGATTGAGAATACATCTGGGGACCTGGGGGGCCATGGCAGGATCTGGATGCTGTGATTCTTGCCGTTTGAGGTCGGGCGTTATCTTGTTGAAAGATGACGCTCGCTTGTTGCATAATGGGAAGGACGTGTGGCCGAGGAATGTCATCCGTGTAACGTTGTGCCATTAAATTTCACAGAACTTGCACCAGTTCTGTTCTACCAGTGTAGGAGATGGCTGCCCACATAATCATACTACCACCCAATATCCTACGCAATCCTGGTTTGCCGTTGTAGGAGTGGTCGTGGTGGTTCCTCCACGAAAGTGACGTAGCTGTATGAATCTGTCCTGTGCTCTAGTAGTGACACGTAGTCGACCGAATCTGGGAAGGTCCCGTGTGTCTGATAACGGTCTTGTAATGGTCCTTGGTAATACGTGGAAAAAACGTGGACCCAGCTGAAGACGATTCTCCTGTTTGTAGTCGGCCAATGGCGTTGTTGCGTTGGGCTTCCGTCAGTCGTGGCATGTTTTCGCTGTTCACCAGCTGTAAGATTTTGATGGCCTGCAAATGAAAACCTTATGTTTTTACAGCCCACTAAGCGATGTAGCACATGCATGTCATGTTGGTGTGTTTCCACGCCAGGCTCTCACGTGGTTGTATGTTTGCGACTTTTCCAACACACTGTCAGATATTTACGATTTTAAGGACCTTTGTGGTTTTTTTCTTGCAGAGTATAAATACAATAATACAGCTTTCTTTGATTACACTTAAACGTTCTATTTTCCAGGTGTTATATTTAGGGTGCATTGGTATTCATATTTATGGCCTTCTTAAAGCACATTCTGGCATCACTTCTCTTTGATGCCTGTCGCCCACTCCCTTCCTCTTGCTGCCATCCTCTTTTTCCTTCCATAGGCCACTGTTTGTTTCACATGCCCGTTGGCCCGGTCCAAGGAATGGTTGTGGCCGGTTTGTCATACACGTGGACAGCAAGCAGTGTGGACCCATGTTCTTGATTCCATTAAGGTAACTGCACTGGTGGCAAATTACAAATGCATGAAATAAATGCTAATCACAAATGCTAAACATCGACTCAGAGATCCTATCTCAATAATGATACTGTACTCCGAAAACCCCATAGAAAACTGAAAATACAAAATGACATGTAACTACCAAATTTAATTAAATTCATGTCACAGCTTGAGAATATGCCTTGTAGCATTTCCTCTATCGCCTTGGTCATTAAGATCGTGGTCGGTTAAAGTTGACTCATTTTGTACTTATTGATAGAAAGGTAGATTCTTAATGAGAATGTTCAGAAGGCTTCACTGAGGTGCTGAGGCTTCACACAAGTATTGCCTGAACCATCCAGTTGCACAAGCATTACCTGAACCAACCAGCTGCACAAGTATTGCCTGAACCAACCAGCAGCACAAGTATTGCCTGAACCAACCAGCAGCACACGCATTGCCTGAACCAACCAGCTGCACAAGCATTGCCTGAACCATCCATGAGCACAAGCATTGCCTGAACCAACCAGCTGCACAAGTATTGCCTGAACCAACCAGCAGCACAAGTATTCCCTGGACCAACCAGCAGCACAAGCATTGCCTGAACAATCCAGCAGCACAAGTATTGCCTGAACCAACCAGCTGCACAAGCATTGCCTGAACCAACCAGTACCACAAGCATTGCCTGAACCAACCAGCAGCACAAGTATTGCCTGAACCAACCAGCAGCACAAGCACTGCCTGAACCAACCAGCTGCACAAGTATTGCCTGAACCAACCAGCAGCACAAGCATTGCCTGAACCAACCAGCTGCACAAGCATTGCCTGAATCAACCAGCAGCACAAGCATTGCCTGAACCAACCAGTAGCACAAGCATTGCCTGAAACAACCAGCTGCACAAGCATTGCCTGAACCAACCAGCTGCACAAGCATTGCCTGAACCAACCAGTAGCACAAGCATTGCCTGAACCAACCAGCAGCACAAGCACTGCCTGAACCAACCAGCTGCACAAGTATTGCCTGAACCAACCAGCAGCACAAGCATTGCCTGATCCAACCAGCAGCACAAGTATTGCCTGAACCATCCAGTTGCACAAGCATTGCCTGAACCAACCAGTAGCACAAGTATTGCCTGAACCAACCAGCTGCACAAGCATTGCCTGAACCAACCAGCTGTACAAGTATTGCCTGAACCAACCAGCAGCACAAGTATTGCCTGAACCATCCAGTTGCACAAGCATTGCCTGAACCAACCAGCTGCACAAGCATTGCCTGAACCAACCAGCAGCACAAGCATTGCCTGAACCAACCAGCAGCACAAGCATTGCCTGAACGAACCAGTTGCACAAGCATTGCCTGAACCAACCAGCTGCACAAGCATTGCCTGAACCAAACAGTAGCACAAGTATTGCCTGAACCAACCAGTAGCACAAGCATTGCCTGAACCATCCAGTTGCACAAGCATTGCCTGAACCAACCAGTAGCACAAGTATTGCCTGAACCAACCAGTTTCACAAGCATTGCCTGAACCAACCAGCTGCACAAGCATTGTCTGAACCAACCAGTTGCACAAGCATTGCCTGAACCAACCAGCTGCACAAGCATTGCCTGAACCAACCAGTAGCACAAGCATTGCCTGAACCAACCAGCAGCACAAGCATTGCCTGAACCATCCAGTTGCACAAGCATTGCCTGAACCATCCAGTTGCACAAGCATTGCCTGAACCAACCAGTTGCACAAGCATTGCTTCGATTCTGGAAACCTACTCTAGAAGACAAATGACGTCTCACAGGGTGAAGACGTCACTCGTCACGTGGCGTCTGTACACCCTTTTGTTAATCTCGTCAAGGGAAGTCTTGTTGGGGTCATAACGGTCATTTATCACAACATCCCAACACACACAAATATCTCGAGCACTTTGTCAATAATACACACACTGACATGTCCACCAATATAATGAATATTCCTTTCTAAAATGTGATGATTATTGTCAAGCACAAAGAATCAGACTTTCTGTTTTATGTTTTATGTGCCATAGATTATGGCCAATGCACATAATTTCAAACCTCAAGGCCAAAGTAGCAGGGTGCGCTTAATTTTTTGCAATGTGTATATATTCTAGAGATGGCATTAACTTTAGTTTAATTTGGTAAGAGCATACACTGCATGAATATGTTGAGGTAGTAGAATTATGTTTGGAAATGTTTATATCTAAACATGTTTTGGAATTTGTTCAGGTCTGAAATGGATCAAATATTTTGCGTCTCTTCACTAAACACGCTTAGAACCAACACAAACGAAATATTCTGAGGTCTCTCTGCATACCGACAACATCCCCACAATCTGAGAAAAAATTAAACAAATTCATAAATGTGAGTAACATTTTCACGACAAAGTGGGAGGAAACTTGTTTAGGTTTGTGTTTAGGATTGAAACACATTTTACAGTGTAGTGAGTCACATATATGGTATCACCAACTAGTCTCATAATGCATACAGCCATTTCCTCATATAATTGTAAGGAAAAGAGTAATGCAAGCAATGCAACGCCATACGCACCAACACTACGTCTCGTTGTTGCACTATGTCCAACTCTAGCTTTGTTTGCTTATTGTTTAACGCCACCATCAGCATTTTTCCAGCTGTATGGCAGTGGTCAGGAAATTATCGCGACTCTACCAGACAGACTGGTTGCTGATGTCATGAGCAACATCTTACCGGGTTGTCTCGCCGAGTCATTGAACCTGACACCCCCATCTATGTAACTTTTTCTATGTAGTCGCCTCATTTAGGGGGCAAAGATTAATAAAATATGGTATCACTCATCTGAATACAAATTAAATATTTCTGTTTCTTGTTTATTCAAGGCCAATACCAGAGGGCTTTAAGATGACCGGCCTCAAACCTGAACAAGCAGCTGTTGTCAATTCTCTGTGGAAATACAATGACGATAAACACTCGGAAATATACATTCAAGACATTATTGGCAAACTGCCGTCGTGTTGTCTGTATGACGCTGATGGTGCCATGGTAGGCTTCGCTCTCAACTACCACTACGGCGCTGTAGGCATGCTGCATGTTCTAGCGGAACACCGAGGGAAGGGGTACGCCAAGGTGATAATGTCTCACCTCGCCAGTTTGTGTCTACAACAGTGTGATGAGGTGTTTGTTCTGCCTGATGAGGAAAATGTTGCGTCAATCAAGCTTCATGAAGACATAGGATTTAAACAGGTCCCCGACTCAAAACGTGTTGCTTTGGTGGTTGAATGAGAGACGTGATTCATTTACGAATAAACACTTGTTTACTTAATGTAAATGGTTAACGCATTTTAACGTATTGCAACACAATTCGAAAACAGACAAGCCATTTTCAATTTATGATGAGGTGAGGTGAGATAGGGTTTAAAGTCGCGTTCAGGATTATTGCACTTACATAGCGACGTGTGTGCGTGCGTGCACAAGTCCGGAGTACCGATTTTATCGTGCTAGCCCACTGAGATACTCTGCCGCATTTTAACATAATTTATAAACCCCATTCAGACTGACTCCGAGCCGACCAGTCCTTGTTTAAGCCACTTAATGCCGAGCGCCAGGCAGGGTAACATCAAATACCATTTTGTAACGTCTTTTGGTAGGACGCGGCCGGGGATCGAACCCCGAGCTTCCGCTCTCTGGCCAGACACTCTACCGCTGAATCACGGAGGCGGTCTGTTCATTTATGTCCATGGTGAGGGAGTGAAGTTTAAGAGCCTTTGTGATGATTAAATAGAATACACTGAATACAGCACGCATGACACAATGTACCTATGTGGAGAAACAAGTAGCTAACCAAACAACAGTCAGTCCCGGCCTAGCCTTGTACACGCGGATGTACTTCAACGTGAGGGCAACAGTAGGTTGCACTAACCGGTAATAAGTTGTAATGTGGAACACCATCTTTTGTAGACGTCTATATGTAATGTAGAGCAAACCAAGATAACAGAAGCTTAAAGACATCCATCAAAAGTTAAAGTCAGAGAAGAAAAAAAACAAAATTGACCAAACAAAAAAGAACAATCGGTATCAAGCTTTTTCCGAACATATGGCTGGTACATGTTGAGGTCTCCATAGCGTATCAAGTGTAACCTCAAACACAACTCATCAGAGTCTGGAGAATGGACATGTGTCAAGTTATATCTGCAATTATAAGCCCTTACTAAAATGACAATCTGGATAGCAGTATGTTGAAGAACTATCGCCCAAGGTCGAATATAATTTTCGTCTCAAAGATCCTGGAAAGAGCTCACATCAAACCTCAACACAACATTATGCATACATTTCAATCTGCTGAGAGAACAGCTCTTAGCAGAGTTACGATACTAAATAGAATCATGAACGACCTAAACATGTCTGTTGATGATGGTCATGTGACCCTTCTAGTTCTGCTAGATGTATCCCCAGCCTTCGATGCCATTGGTCATGAGAATCTGTAAGACGATTCCAGGGAGAGTAAAGTCTAACCGGAACTGTTCTCGTCGTACCCAGCGCAGGCAACAGTGTGAAGTCATCAGCATCACCCGGTCCGAGTTCAACAGGTTCAGTCTAAAGGCCAATTCGTGTTACCCTGTATGCCTGCCAACTTGGACATGTCAACACTCAGACTAGTCATTACAACACAGTGTCACACTGCATACCTGACAACCAACAACATGCTGACAATAAATGAAGAAACGACTGCGAATCAAATAAGGATTCTCAGAAACAACAACTTGTGATACCAGGCAAACCAATGTACATCTGCAGACTCAACCTGTGTTTTAACAGCAGCACGGGTCTGGGACAATGGTTGGATTGCACTATGACTCCCATGTTTATGTATACCAGTGTTTGTGTATTTAATGAATTACCTTGCATGCATACACATACACTCACATCGTCCTCTAAGATAAAACTGATGATAAACTGGTTAGAAGGGCGGTAAAACCACCTCGCTCTTGCAGCTGACCTTGTACCTGAACAGTGCAACATGTCGACGGATGGCCTGATGTACACCCACAGAAATAAAGGATTTACATAAACTCCTACGAAACAACATTATATTGGGAACATTGGGAAATCAACACTAGTGCAATGCGGCTTGTGCTCTACGATATCATATTCTACTTTGTATCTGTACAGATTATTCACATTCTCACAGTGAATTATATATGACAAATCTGGTTCAGCAAATGTATCGCACGGAGTCATAAAAGTACATGATACAATTGATGATATTCATTATGTTTCTCCTACATTGTGTCAGTTTCTCCCGAAACTCACAGAGGGCACGGTGAGGAAGTGTCTCCTGTACCCATGTGTGCTGTGACCTCACGCAACTGCCGCTCCACCCCACGCCGTGCAGGATGGAGAATATGCTGATCCACCACGTCAGAGGAAGTGTCTCCTGTACCTATGTGTGTTGTGACCTCACGCAACTGCCGCTCTACCCCACGCCGTGCAGGATGGAGAATATACTGATCCACCACGTCAGAGGAAGTGTCTCCTGTACCTATGTGTGTTGTGACCTCACGCACCTGCCGCTCTGCCCCACGCCGTGCAGGATGGAGAATATACTAAACCACCACGTCAGAGGAAGTGTAATTTGCTCTAATATGAATGTATTGACTCGTTTGATCCAAGTGTAAGCAAACATATGTCCCCGTGTGCGCCGTGTTGATGACGCCAGGTGTACACTTCCCCCTCATGCACTGAGGTCTCTGCCCTGTATGTACATATTCATATAACACGTGGCTGTATGTACACATGTCTATATTCATATAACACGTGGCTGTATGTACACATGTCTATATTCATATAACACGTGGCTGTATGTACACATGTCTATATTCATGTAATAGGTGGCTGTAATGAAATGTATTCAAATGCTATGGCTATCGACTCTTTGTCATCAGATGTGACCATGTAACCTGATGCCGATACGATCTGTGACTGTTGTGAGATACAAGACGAAAGGCAACATACATGGCGACGTAGCTGCAGAAACTACAAGGACCACATCATTATTAACAGGAAGTGTTTCAGAAGCAGTGAAAACATCGAAAATGGACTGTCGCTGTCTGCATGTCATGTTTCTGCTCATTCTTACAGCATGTCTAACAGTGGGTGAAATCAAAGGTGAGAATTGAGGTCTCTCACAGTATCACAAGAGTACAAAGAGCTGGTCAAATGTGTTATTTGAAACATGTTATGTAAAACACGAACAAGCCATTATATATAGTGTCACTTAGTGATGATGCTATTTAAACGAGCATTTCCTTCTGGTGGTCTAAATACCACATAACAATTGTCTGTGGTAGCTGTGCGAGATAATAAATGAACAAGTATCGTCGGATAAAACTGCTTCATAAAACTACCACTGGAAATGTTCTACATGATGATTCTTCATGATAGAATATCTGTCTTCAGCTGTCATGGCTGCCCATCTACAACAATATAAAACGTCACCACCAGAGCATAATCTGTCCCGGTTTCTGCTGAAACACACTCCACTGGGCATAACAGCAACATGGTTGTGAAACCTATATGAAAGGAACACGCTTGGTATTGGTCAAATGTAACAAATGTTTTATTTGGGATAACACTTTCTTAGTAAAGTACAGATTCTCGTAGCTTTTTAGGGTTAAGTCCCATTCGTGATTCGAACCCACACTGCCAGAGTGAGGCACCTAATCACCAGCACACAAAGTCAGCTATCTAACACACTCAGCCACCGAGGCTTCAACAAAAATGACAGTCCGACAACTGGAAGTCTAGATCACGTACTTTGTGTACCCCTCTGACAAGTGTAAATTAGCACGGATTTATTGGCCGAAAGCTATGAACACACAAGCCATTTAGAAAGTGGTCACATGTAACAAATGTTATATTTGGGATAACATGTTCTTAGTAAAGTAGAGATTCTCGTACGACATTTGACATATGTTTGGTGTGCAATTATTGAAAAAACTATTTATTTGTACATCTTTCAGGCTATGAACTCAAAAACATCTATGTTATCTTTATGTGATATTTGTGATTATATCTAATAACCTTCGAGCTTCATGTCTACTAAATAAAAAAATCTAATAAATGTAAGTAATGGCATATGTGCTCTTCACTGTAAAGAATAAAGCTGTCACAATATCAGGTACACATAACGTCTAGGCAAGTCCAATGTTCTTGCAGTGGAGAGTATATGTAAGAAGCTCGAGCAGGACAGCTCTCTCCACCTGACGTGTGGTCCTGCCCAGTACATCGCCATACAGACTGTGTCAGCTGGAGCTCGGGGTGTTGACTGCAGGGTGAACAGGAGTGTGGAATGTAACTACGCGCCCCCCAACATCACACAGCTGCCTCAAGTTACAGTATGTAACGGCAACAACAGCTGTAACGTGTCTCTACAGTTGGTTGTCCAGTGCAACAACAAGGCCTACTTCGCTGACTATGCATTGGAGATTGAATACCAGTGTCTCGGGGGTAACTGTAAGTGTATCATCTCCGAGCCGACCAGTCCTTGTTTGAGAGCCTTAAAGCCTGACAGGATAACATCAAGTACTATCTTTTAACGTCTTCTGGTATGACGCGACCGGGGATCCAACCCCGGACGTTCCGCTCTTCGGGAGCCTAGTTTCTACCCTTGTCACATCAAGGCCACTTTTCATAGATAGACCCTGGCGCCAACTCACGTAGTACACGAGTTGTGCACCTTTAAATGAAAACGCCATATCCAAACAGATTGCTGTTCCTATCTCGTTGAGCTTCACAAAAATGGCGACTACCGTAGGTGACGACCTAGTCGTCCAGATAACGAAAACATTCGCGATTCCATCCCTTACGCAACAATATAGGTAATCGTTGGGGGTGGGGGGGGGGGGGGGGGGGAGGGGGGGGGGGGGGTTAATAGATTAAAAAGAGGTGTCAACAAAGACAGGCTTTCATACATAGAGGTTATCACGCGAGTGTATTTGGGGATGGTAAATATCCGGCATTAGGAATAAACATTCGCCAAGGCTCGCTAAATACGTAGTGTTTATTCTTAATACAGGATATAACACATCCCCAAACACACAAGCGTTATACCCTCTTTATCATATAATGTCATTCTTTAATTCTGTGGGGCGGTCGGGTAGCCTAGTGGTTAAAGCGTTCGCTCGTCACGCCGAAGACCCGGGTTCGATTCCCGACATGGGTACAATGTGTGAAGCCCATTTCGGGTGTCCCCCGCCGTGATATTGCTGGAATATTGCTAAAAGCGGCGTAAAACCATACTCACTCACTCACTCACTCACTTTAATTCTGTGCTTCAAAATCGCTTTCCCTCTCTCACAAACATTACCGAAACATTGCGAGTTTTCCTGGAATGCGCGCATTAATATTTATTACGTCACAGGGTAAGTGATGTGTCAGTCGGACAGTGACAGTAGCCAATATAGTTCCAACTGAAATATGTTTCTTATACAGTGGCGAAGCAACATATACGCAAAACAACAATTGTTTTAAATTGCCTTTCGCGGCAATCCATCGGTCAGTCCGCTAGAGTAACTGCCCTTTGTCAAAGGGAAGCTACTCTAACCATAGTCTATAAGACGTCACGGCAACGGTCAGACGTTGTTGACAGTCGGTCTGTCCTGTCATAACGTTAAGAAGTGTAGTCAGATGTACACACAGCGACAAAACGAAACAAGGTAACAATTCAAACATATTTCGGCCAAATCCAACTATTTTAATTTGTGGAGGTTTCAAGCCACAGAGGTCTACAAGCACAGCTATGGCTACTGATTCTGCTTGGCTAGGCCTCGTGCCCACGCAAAATTGTTTCGAAATCTAGATTCTATATCTCACAAGTTGCCAAAAATAATATTAGACTGTTCTTTGGATAATAATAGCAATTATCCCTGTAGTTTATCCAGATTCCCGATGGTTAATTCTGACTCGATCGCCGAATGACGAGGGCGACGCCATGTTTGTTTATGAACAGTGAAAGTAGCCCCTGCTTGACCTTTGCTATTTGCATCTCTATCCGCATATGACCCCAACGGATATCGTTTTTATCCGTTGGCTTTATCCTGCCGAGAAACCTACCCATTAAATGATACAAAGGTGTACCAGTCGTGAATGTTGATTCTCTGATTGGACTATCGCTATGTGCGATACACACCGGAAAAAGGATGCTGTCGACACATATGTGATTGTTATTATCACTATAGCACAATATACATCTTCTACCATCTACAGATGATGTCAAGTCTTCAGGTGTGCCCAACTCGGTTACATTACCAACTTCGGCACCAAGCCAATATATAACACCTACTGCAGTGAGAATATCAGAGTCATCTACAGCACCAACATCGGATGAAGTGCCCACTGTGTTTCCGAGACTAAATATCGAGGCTTCTATTTTACCCAACAAAGACGTCTTGCTCTCCTCAGTACCAACAACAGATGATGCTACTTCCACGGGACCTCGTGATCAGACAACCGACCAGAGTAGGTCTACAAAGAGAAATATTTTCACAAGGAAATATATCTTTATGTATATTTGAAGCACTTGTTCGTAATCTACAATGTAAAGGACAGTTAAGGTTCGCAACACCTATATCTTAATAATAACTTAGGGAGCGTACGTGAAATATCCCGGAGAGCTTGGATATTTGCTTTTCAGTCACTTATTTTTTTCATTCATATCTTCAAAACATAACACTGTATTTTGTCCCTGAATTCCTGAATGTCAGACGAACACATGTTTGTGTAAGTATTTCAGGAATGAAGTATTTTATCCCTGAATGACTTCTTTGTGTGAATTCCAGGCGCTGTCCTTCCTGTCTTTTTGATAGCTGCGTCGGCCGTGATGGGAGTCCTTGTCATCGCTGTCCTGGCGGTGCTCTGTGTCATGTGTGGCTGCAGGTAAAGTGCAATATTTACGAATCACCCTCGTCTCACTCTAAAATAGGCATCACCAGCCTTTCTATAAACTGTCCCATCAAGACTCTTTTCGTATGATGTAGTGTAAACATCTAAGGGATGTAACCGCTGACACTTACCAAAATACCTACTGCTACATAACAATTGAAGGATTTTACGTTATTTCATATTTTCTTTCCCAGAAAGTGCGGGTTAACTCACAAACTAATGGCCACAGCTTCACAACCTGGTCATATCATTCCAATGCCCGTTCCAAAGAATCTGGTCGGCACCACTTGGCAGGAGCACGATGGTTACTGGGAGCTTGATCCTGCCGATGTACACAATGTCAGCCCTGTCGCCGTTGAGAGTGACACAGGTTATGCAGAGTTAAACCCAGCAGAAAGTGAACAGAAACACATCAGTGACTATTTGGGGCATGGAACACCTGTTCAACATGTGCGTGAACTGGCTCAATTTCTAATTTCCAGTCCAAAGGAAGATGGCAGTCAACACATCCTGCAGTGTCCTAGCGTATCACCAGATAGCTCACTACCAGAAGCTCGGCTGGACGGCAGGGGGACAGACTATCAACAAATTCTAGTTCAAGGTGACAGACATGACCGTCTGAACATCAGGGACACCATGCAGAACGACATCATGGACATCAGGGACGCCAAGCAGAACGACATCATGGACATCAGGGGATTCATCATTGATGCTGACAACCATTATGACAAAATAACTTTTAGGAAACTGTATCACGTGAAAGTAGATGAAACAGAAGCGGACAAGCCTGAGAATAAAGACTGAACGTTGATGTTGTGATGTTACCATGGATGCACTCCTTCTCGGGCACCAAACTTTACCATTTATAAACTATCCTTCTGCTCGGAACAGTACCTTAGTGTTACAACTGTTTCACAATTTAGAGAAGCCCTGGCTCTTTTTGAGGTGGTAGTTCACACGAATTATAAATCGAAAGAGGATTATAAATTATATTCTGCAACCAAGAGAGCTGCAAGTGTGTGAATTATGTACTTGTAACACTATTGAAGATGAGTTTCACTTTGTTATGACATGTTATGCTTTTAATGCCATTAGGGCAAAATATATTAGTCAGAGATTGTATGTTTACCCATCTCTAGGTACATGGCTTGGGGGTCGCTGCCGCTACAATGAAGCCTTGTCATGTGAAGAGAAGTCTCTTCTCTAGGCACATGGCTTGGGTGTTGCTGCCACTACAACGAAGCCTTGTCATATAAACAGAAGTCTCTTCTCCAGGCACATGGCTTGGGTGCTGCTGCCACTACAATCAAGTCTTGTCATATGAACAGAAGTCTCTTCTCCAGGCACATGGCTTGGGTGCTGCTGCCACTACAATGAAGCCTTGTCATATGGACAGCAGTCTCTTCTCCAGGCACATGGCTTGGGTGCTGCTGCCACTACAATGAAGCCTTGTCATGTGAACAGAAGTCTCTTCTCCAACACATGGCTTGGGTGCTGCTGCCACTACAATGAAGCCTTGTCATGTGTACTGAAGTCTCTTCTCCAGGCACATGGCTTATGCGTCGCTGCCTCTACAATGAAGCCTTGTCATATGAACAGAAGCCTCTTCTCTAGGCACATGGCTTAGGTGTCGCTGCCACTAGAATGAAGCCTTGTCATATGAACAGAAGTCTCTTCTCTAGGTACATGGCTTAGGTGTCGCTGCCACTACAATGAAGCCTTGTCATATGGACTGAAGTCTCTTCACTAGGTACATGGCTTAGGTGTCGCTGCCACTACTATGAAGCCTTGTCATATGAATTGAAGTCTCTTCCCTAGATACATGGCTTGGGTGTCGCTGCCTCTACAATGAAGCCTTGTCATGTGAACAGAAGTCTCTTCTCCAGGCCCATGGCGTGGGTGCTGCTGCCACTACAATGAAGCCTTGTCATATGAACAGCAGTCTCTTCTCCAGGCACATGGCTTTGGTGTCATATCGACCTCCACATTATATCGATATATTGTTTGATTCAGTTTGTGGTCCAGGCATTCTTTATTGACACCGTAGTACGATGTCGTCTCACATCCTGTTTGTCACAACAAATACCTCATACAGTCAATGGTCCGGAAGGTTTCATTGTGTGGAAGCTTTTGTCACTCTTCTCATTTTTGCAGTTTTGTTAATAAGATGCTAGTAAAAAAATTATTCAATCTACAAATGCTAATTCCCAATGTCAAATGGAGCATTGATCCAAACATATTATTCGCTGGTTAGTTCTAACTAGTTTGAACCTCACAGAAGTATAACATTAAACATTACATGTGTGTGCACAGGATGTTCAGCAGGTCAGGATGGAAATTGTACCTTGCACTTGTCACCATCGACATGAAATAACAGTAGCTAGTAACACTGTATACATTCTAAACTGTTATCTCATTGTGTTGTACCATTAGAAAGATTACTTTTATAAAGCATGATATATTTCTCTAATTTGTAGAACGCATCTTTTGACTATTAATTCTTGTAGATCTTCGTGTCACTATGTGTAAAACGGATTGTCACACCAATCAATGTCACCATTTGTCGTCGTTTCTAGGTATTACTTGTACATCTGTAGTTTCAAGTTTTTGTAACAACCAACTTGAATATCGTTTACATTACATTTCATCTCTAGCAGTTATGCTTTAAGTGTGGAATTAAAAAGAGAAAAACATGCGCTTGATTGTGTACATTGGGGCAAGTTTCTACAGGAAGTATTGATCTCCCTGGCCACCTGCTTCAGTAACTACATCTACTGCAGTCTTTATGTTTGCCCTGGCTGTGCATCACAGCATGGGTGTGCTGAAAGATGGAAGGGCCTTGACGTAACTGGCCTCACACATGACACCCAGGGAACACAATTCATCGAATTTTTCTATTCCTCCATAACATTTGAAATGAACATTAATCCTGCCATTTCGTATCACTTCATTCAATTACTTCATATTACCTATTAATGTCATCTGTCAAATTGTTCTTCTGCCTTTAGCTGACATTTTAGAATCCTGCATTTTGATTGATCCGTCAGCGGTATCGAAACGACGTTATGCACTGACTTTCACCGTGGCCCATCCAAAGAAATTACACATTGAAACCACTTCTTTCCCAAAAACACCTTTTAAGCTATTTCAAACACTTATTAAGCTCTGTAAACGTTTCGAAATGTAATATTTGCCGGTTCCATTTTCTTGATAAAAGTGACAACAAAATTGGGAATGGCATCGGAGCTGATTTTTGTCAATATTGCGTAACATTTGGAAATTTCCTCACAGCGTCTACCTTCAAACATTTTGAAAGTTTGCACCTCCAACGTTGTGACATGTAAACACCAACAGCCGGTGCAGACACCAAATATCCTGGTGTGTTTGACAATGGATACATGGGTCATCTTACTTGCAATAGTGAGTGCGTTAGTGTTCACGCCGCCTGTTCCAGTCGTATCACGGCGTGTCACCTTCATGTGGAGGATAACTCAAAGTGACGCAGGACTTTGCTTCCAATAATAACAATACTATTTTTATTCAACTGTTTTTATAACATCACGTGACGTGGGTAATATTTTTCCATCACCTGGTCATTCCAATTGGGGCGTCGGTTGCACCGTTCAGCTATACTCTGCAACATCGACTCTGCTCCTAGAGGAATAATGTCCTCCTGAGAGACTATTTTTCACAAAACAGCAGCGACGCTTACACGCATGCGTCTTCACACTCGCTGTACTATTGAGATATTTTACTGGAATTTGGCAAGTCTGTGAGTTATTCAGTTGCCAATGAACTCTCGTCAGAATCGCGATAGAGAGAGTAGACACTTTTATATTTTAGTAGTGCAAATAATGTAGCTGTATCTAAACAAAACATTATCGCAACATTCATGGTGGCATTACAAAGGTTCAGAGCATCAGCAATAAACAAAACATTATGTCAAAACGTCATCGCAACATTTGACATGGCATTATAAAGGTTCAGAGCATCAGTTATAAACAAAACATTATGTCGTTATAGCTGGAGTTCATAGGTTGTAGGTATTACAGGAGAAGTCCAAACACAGTATTATGTATTATTTTCATAAAACCACAAAATAAACAAATGTAAACAAACTTCTATGATGTATTTAACCGTTATATACACAAGGGTGCTACTTCCTGGTTGTAGTCTTTCAGCTGCCGTCTGTGCTGTTGAACAACGTGTTGACACAACCTCGACCTGGTAATAATCACCTACATACATGCAACTACAGAAGACGCCAACAGTGCCTCGGGTTCCTCAGTCGTACACAGGGTGTGTTCCCCACATCCAATAGGTGAGTAGACGAAGGACGACACTGGATGGCAGAGTTACCACTAAACGTGTCAATGAGACGAGTGTGTAGATTCTAAGCCTGCGTCAAACAAGCCTGGGTGAGGGATACACTACGTGAACAGATGAAGCTTGGTGGTTTACAACTTGGTGAAGCAGTGAACTGTTTCTGGCTCCTGTTTATTTTTCTAACAGTTCCGTCAGAAATTGCTCAAGGTGAGTTGACCTTTTACTTCTCAGCTAAGCCTCGAACATAACTGTAATATGTTTCTGTCAAGGACCATTTGGTATTCGGAGGAAGGGAATTTTGTTCGGGTGGGGATGGTGGCACGCGACCTGGATTTGAAAATAGTAAATCAATGACTAACATATTATGTCTCTCATACAAAAATCCCAGTTAAAATGCCTAGTTATTAAATAGTCTGTCAATAATTGTATGTTGTTAGAAATCACATGTCCAACTCGATAAAGTAAATAAAGAATACGAAACGTGTTCCCGGGTAATACCAATATTATGAAACGTGCGAATAGTTCTGGTATCTGACGAGTTTCGCGAAATTCGTATTACACGGGAGGCCTGGGGCGTCAGCCTAGCAAAAGGGTTGCTGGGGTAATTGAGTGTGCACAACCTCCTCTCAGTGATCTATCATCTCCACACGCAATGTCAGTTAATAAGACCAGCGATGTTGAGAATTTTCAATATTTGTTTGGGGGTGGTCGGGTAGCCTAGTGGTTAAAGCGTTCGTTCGTCACGCAGAAGACCCGGGTTCGACTGTTGACATGGGTACAATGTGTGATTGCTGGAATATTGCTGGAAGTGGCATAAAATCAAACTCACTCACTCAATATTTGTTACTGAAACGTGTTCCGGCAGTACTGAGCTCGCGCTTTGGTATTACACACTGGCAAGCATATTCTTATTAAATAGTGGTATCTTCAACGGATACCTAATGAAAATTATTACTCGTGTACGAGTGCTGGTCTTCTTTAAATAAATTAAAATAGTATTGTATGTAAATCTTCAGCTGTGGTTTGTGCACTAGAGAGTGGAGACATGATGAAACAGTAGTACACTATACTTGTTATAAGAAGGAACAGAGGGGTAAAGCATGTTGTTAAATACTAGTAAAGAATTCAACGTTGTACATAATCGTCGTCTATCTTACAGCAAAAACAACCAGTGGTTGTGCTCGACTGACGCAGAGTGTCACTCTCAACCTGACCTGTAATTCCGGCCACCATATCTCCATAGATGACGTGTTGGCTGGGGCTGCTGCTGCAGACTGTAGGGTGAACAGGAGTGCGGAGTGTAGCATCACTTCAACCAACATAACACAGCTGCCTCAAGTCATCGCATGTAACGGTCTAAGAAGTTGTCATGTGACAGTAAACATTGCCATCACCTGTAGCACCAAACCTCTTCCGCTTTATGCCGTGGAGATACTTTATTGGTGTTTTGACCGTAAGTCTCCTGTTACTATTAAAGTCAATTTATTACCTTTTTCCGGAATGACCGCCTCTAGCCTAGTGGATAGCACGTCTGACCGGCTGTCCAGAGAGTGGAAGATGGGTGGTTCGATTCTCTTTCAGCATCATACAAAAAGAGTGGGTCATTTGTATGTGTGTGGGCTAGCACTATAGAGTCCGGACTAGTATAAGCGCGAACGCACACGCGCACGCACGCACACACACACTTAAGTTAATTGTAAGTATGATACTACTATTTAAGTCAATCACTTACCTTTGTTCGAGAACAAACCTTGAAGAGCACCAAGGTAGATGCATCAATAGATTAAAGGACTTAAACTTAAACATGTCAAAGCAAAACATCAGCAGATGGTTCATCCATCTGGTCAAAAACATGTGTGTCATCGTTTTTCCCGATCTTCCCTAGGGAAGCATGTCCACCAGCCTATATCATAGCCTAGTTTCTACTCTTGTCACATCAAGGCCACTTTTCTTCGCTCGACCCCGGCGCGTAGATCACAAGTTGCGCCCCTTGTAATGAAATCGCAATATTCAATCAGATCGCTGTTCTTATCTCGTACAGCTTCACAAAGTTGGCGACTACCATAGGTGACGACCTCGTCGATCAGAAAACGAAACCATTTGCGATTTCATCCCTGACACAACAACATAGACAATCGTTGGGGGGTTTAAAAGGTGAAAAAGACGTGTCAACAAAGACAGGCAGCAGTAATTCACTTTCATGAAAAAGTGTACCAGTCGTGGATGTTGATTTTGTGAAACGTTTTCTGATTGGACTATCTATATATGCGATAGTCCAATCATATTTAGCACAGGAAAGTGAGCTTTATGTGGCAAGGGTGGAAACAAGACTTTCAAAAAAGCCGATTGGACGCTCTTGTGCTCGAGAAGATGCCTTATTACAATTAATCAGAGTTTAAGAGAACATACACACAGGAAAAGGAGAAACTGTTGTTGTTTTCTTTCTTGTGAATGTAGCTGTTATTGAGTGTCTAATCTTTTGTAATTCAGGAACACGTGTCAGCAGCACTACAGGGTATGGGTAATTGTGCCAACACTTCTAAAGGTTTCTTTTATTTTGCTTTTAGTGCAGTAAGCAATGTACCTGAGACATGTATATAAGACCCCACAGCATCTAGAGTGCTGTCAACACATGTGTTATTGTTATTATTACTGTAGAGAGTATCTACATCTTCTAGCATCTTCAGAAGATGTCAAGTCTTCAGTGGTGCCTAAATCGGATACAGTGCCTACGTCGTCGCCGAGCCAACATATGACATCGACTGCATTGAGAATATCAAAGTCAACTACAACACTATCATCGGATGAAGAACCCACTGTGTTTCCAAGACTCAATATCGAGCCTTCTACTTTACCCAACAAAGATATCATGATCTCCTCATTGCGAACAACAGATGATGCTACTTCCACTGGACCTCGTGATCAGACAACTGTCCAGAGTAGGTCCATCAAAGAGAAACTGAGTCCCTTATCTTGTGTTGTTGTGATTCAATACACTTAATAGGAAACAAATCTTCATACATATTTGAAGCACTTGTTCGTAATATCCGAATAACAACTTATTTGTTTTTCACTCACTAACTTTTTTCAATCATATGTCAGGCGAATACATTTTGGAGTATATGTCTTCTGGAACAAATAATTATATCCCTGAATAACTTATTTTGTGTAAATTCCAGGCGCTGTCCTTCCTGTCTTCTTGCTAGCTACGTCAGTCGTGATGGGAGTCCTTGTCATTGCTGTCCTGGCGGTGCTCTGTGTCGTGTGTGGCTGCAGGTAAAGTGCAATATTTACGTATCACCCTCGTCTCACTCTAATATAGGCATCACCAGCCTTCAAGAAACTGTCCCATCAACACACTTTTTGAATGTT